GTGACATATATGTTCATAGATACCATTTCATCTTAACGTGGTTCTGTTGGACAGAACAGTCTTATGATGGGGTGGTCTCCGTGCCTCACCTTGTGCCCACTGGCTCTGTTTGTTTCCTCTGGGGTCACACATAGGGAGCTATGTATATCTTTCTCATTTCCTTCTCTGGGTTAAACGTCCCCAGCTATCTGATCTGTTTGCTGCGTGCCTTGGCTGTTCGTGCCCTGGTCTTCCCCCACCTGCAGTCTCTATTCTAAAATGTGGGCCTCCCACATGAGGTCCAGCTCCTCCTGAGATCCCGGAGGTGTGGCTGCTGTGATGGCGACCTTGTTTAGCAGGTGTTCCCTGGAATCCATCCTCCCACTCATCATCCTACCTTTTGATCTGTTTCCCATGAACTGCTTACCTCAGTTTTCTCATCTGTAAGATGGAGAGAGAACGTTAAGTGCTTAGCACAGTGTTTACTAGCACAGACTACTGTTGCTCCTGTTAAATCACTTTTCCTTTGCTGCCAATGGGTCCTATTTTCTGTTTAGGGCTTCTTCAATATGAACTGATCAATGGTAACTTGAACATTTCCGAACTTAGGACTTTTAGACTCATAGTGAAAGGATCTTCCCGATTCCCTTGATCAGTTTTTTTCTTAAAAAAAAAAAAAAAAAAAGATATTTGACATCTTTTTGCTTCTGAGTTCAGTTTCTCTTCTCCTTTTTTTCTGGGTGATGGTTCATTATTTAAGAAATTTCTATGTTCGTGTCATTTAAAAGTAAACCTGTGTAGCTGAAAGTGTCTTAGAGGTTTTGCTTGCATTTTCAGTTGACCCATTCACTTTGCAAGTCTTTAGAGTATTATTTTTTAAGACAGCTTGCAGCTGTTTTCTTATATATATTTTATATGACAGAATTATATTGAAAACATACTAAACCTTTAAAAACCATAGTTTATAATTTATAAGCCATGTGGCATATTATTTTATTTTATTTTATTTTTTTTGAGATGAAATTTTTGCTCTTGTTGTCCATACTGGAGTGCAATGGCATGGTCTTGGCTCACTGCCACCTTTGTCTCCCATGTTCAAGTGATTCTCCTGCCTCAGCTTCCCAAGTAGCTGGGATTATAGGGACCCACCACCATGCCTGGCTAATTTTTGTATTTTTGGTAGAGATGGGGTTTCACCATGTTGGCTAGGCTGTTCTTGAACTCCTGACCTCAGGTGATCCCCGCCTCGGCCTTTCAAAGTGCTGGGATTACAGACATAAGCCATTGTGCCCGGAGCATATTTTTATTTTTATTTTTGAGACAGATCTTACTCTGTCACCCAGGCTGGAGTGCAGTGGCTTGATCACGGCTCACTGTAGCCTTGACCTCCTGAGCTCAAGCAATCCTCCTGCCTCAGCCTCCCAAGTAGTTGGGACCACAGCCACATGCCACCACGCCCAGCTAAGTTTTGTATTTTTTGTAGAGATGGAGTTTTACCATGTTGCTCAGGCTGTAATTTTTCAAAACTAAAAAAAGAAAAAAGTGTTTAAAGCACTTTAAATTGAGAACCTTAAATATCTTCATGTGTTTGTGTTCCTAATTTATTTTTGCAGCAGTAATTATTTCAGCTGTCTTTAGTATTAACATGTTGGAACCTTGGATTAATTTGTGCATGGATATATTTAGAGCCTTTTACTTGATAAGAATCATGTATATCATGACTGAATTTGTAATTTCCCAGCATGAGACTCAAATTAATAGACAGTATTTAGATTCTAGGCAACAATGGGTTATATAAACCAGCATCATTTAGGGAGTGGCAAAGACTCTCTCCCCACCTATTCTGTGAACTTGGGCAAGGTGTGTAGTCTTTCTGGGCCTTAGTCTAATTAGACCCTTTCTCCTGTAACCCAGAGGGGTATTAGTAAAGTTGGTGTGAAAAAAAAAATCAATTATTTTACTGATGCAATTTGGGTGAAACTGTGAAGTTCGGTGTTAACATGATGGTTGTGGAGACATTGAACCCTAATCCTTAGGCCAGGGATTCAAAGTTTTTTTTTGACTCTCATGTTGAATGTTCTCTGAAGTGCAGTGTGCCATGGTTTTAAGGTAATTCTGAGAATTCTAAGGCCCATGCTGGAATAAGTAAGGAGAATATGGGATTTCAGCAAATTAGGGCCAGGAGTCAGTGTTCTCAGCATGGAAGAATCTCACCTCCAAAAATTGTATATGGGTTTTGCACATTAAGCAAGCATGGTTGAGGTGCAGTGCCGGGCCAGTGATGGCAGCCAGGCCCTTGGCCAGGTTCGTTTGCATACTGGGGAGCTAGTGAGAGTCTACCAGCTGAGACAGCTGACGGAGGAGAACATGATGAATAGTTGGGAACTATGGAATCTCCAAGATTTTTCCGTTTTTGTTAACAACTAGCAGTTGCATGCTCGCATCTTTTATTTATTTATGTATTTATTTTTGAGACAGGGTCTCTGTCACCCAGCCTGGAGTGCAGTGGTGCAGTCAGTCATAGCTCACCACAGCTTGAAACTCTTGGGCTGAAGTGATTCTCCTTCCTTAGCCTCCCAAGTAGCTAGAACCACAGGCATGTGCCACCATGCGTGGCCCATTAAAAAAATTTTTTTTTTTAAAATATTTTTGGTGGTAGAGATGGGTTCTCAGTGTATTGCTCAGGCTGGTCTTGAACTCTTTGGCTCAAGCGATCTTCCCACCTTGGCCTTCCAAAGTGCTGCATTTACAGGCATGGGCCACTGCACCTGGCCTGTGCTAGCCTCTCAACATCTTTCCCAGATGTTATGTCCCTTTCCTGGGTGGCTGCTGCTTTCTGCCACATTTCACCTTGGCGTTCTGCACCTTCTAGCACGTCTCCTTTTCCAGCCTCATTCCCTGAGACGTAGCTGGAGTTCTAGTTCAGCCAGCCTGCCCATTGTTTTCTCTCCTGGAACTGGGTGTTTCAGTCTCCTGCATGGAGTGTTCTTCCTTCCCAGCTGAAGTCCTGGTCATCCCATTTCCATCAGAAAGGCCCCTTTGTTCATGAAGCCTCTCATGGTCCTTCCCTCTACACCAACCAGGTAAGCTTTCTCTCTTTTTGGAATTACCCTGTAGGAAGAACATGGTGGCTTGACCTGGTTCGAGTCCCACCCATCTGTTTACCTGGGGAGTGATCTTGGGTGGGTCAGTTGATGTTCTCAGTGCCTTACAAAATGGGGCAGAGGATACCCAACCCCTATGAGATGGTGCAGCTGGAGTGCCTTACACACAGGGCCTGACGTACTAGCCTCTCTGCAAGCACTGGTGTCTTACCTCTTCTGTTTCTCTAATGGTGTTTTGCACATTCACTATTAGAGTTTGTGTTTTTGTTTTACCTTGTTTTAATAAATTATAATCTTATGGGAGATGACACTATCTTTTGTTTGATATATGGAAAATGTTTCACTGATTATCTGTAGAATCAAGTTTGTCTGGAGTTACTCTGGTTGAGGAATGAAATCGGGGAGCTCTTGTGTTCAAAGAGACCTCCTTCTTTTTTATTCTTGTATTTCTGTCCTCCTCCTCATTTTTTAGCTTCCATTTTTACTCTCTTTAGTATTGAGAAAGTACCAGGCTCACTTCAAAGAGTTGACTTCAAAGATCTCCCCTAGCCCAGAAATATTTGCCACTGAAGCCTGTAGGAATTGGCATCAATGGAAGACCCTGTGGTGGTTGCATTTAAGAGTTTTTTGGGGACTTCTATTTTTATCGTTCTTTTAAATGGTAAGAGGGGAGGGTTACAGAAATATCTGCTTCTTTAAGATATCAAACATAAGCCAGTGAAGTTCCAAAAAAAAAAAAAAAAAAAAATAAGATACCTTAGAGAAATAAAAGGGATTTTAGAATGAGTAGAAAAGAACAAGTCTTTTTTCTTTTCTTTTCTTTTTTTTTTTTTTAAAGATTACATTTACTGTTTTGTCCTAGTTACAAGAGCTTAGGACAGAAATAAAGCCTTAACTGGTAGGTAACATTTTCCAAGATGGCTGAGTGGGGTGGCGTGTTACATAGCAGAAAATAGGGGCTTGGGCCTGTTGAGACCTCACAGCCAGCTCTTCTTGGAGCTGTGGGTGTGGGCTGAAAGAGAAGACAGGGAGATTAAAGACCAGTGATTTCCCTCCATGGACCCTTTGATGTTCTTGTTTGTTGACTTTTTGAGGGTTGGAGTGACCAACTCTTCCAGGAATGAGAAATGGAATCCCTGCCAGTTTTGATGGTAATCCCAAAATATATTTCCTGAAGGCCTACTCTGTGTCTCAGCACCATGCCAGGACTCCCCCACCCAGCCTTTCCGAGCGTGCTACATACAGTCTTCCTGATCCAAGGTCCTGCCACCTGCCTGCTCGTCACCCTTGGCCCCACCCCATGCCTTTGCACAAATCTTTCCAGCCTGCTCCCAAATCCTGACCTCATACTGGTGCAGGAATTCTTACTTAACCTCCAAGACCTGGTTCAAGGGCTAAATCCTTTATGGAGACTTGTGATTTTTCCTCAGCTGGTTGCTTTGTTCTCCAGTGATTTGTTACCTTGTGAACAAATATAATCATTTTATTCTGCTGGAATGATCTATTTACACTTCTATCCCTGCAAATTGTACCCTGCCCTTCAATGTCTAAGTGAATAGCATAAACAGGTGCTCTAGGAATTGAGACTAAGTTGGAGCTGGGTGATCAGGGAAGGTTTTAAGGAAGAGATCTGGGGCAAATAGCTAAAGATGGACTTTTTTTTTTTTTTTTTTTTTTTGAGGTGGAGTCTCGCCCCCTCACCCAGGCTGGAGTGCAATGGCGTGATCTGCGTTCACTACAACCTCTGCCACCCGGGTTCAAGCGATTCTCCTGCCTCAGCTTCCTGATGGGGTGACAGGAGCCCACCACCATGGCTGGCTAATTTTTGTATATTTAGTAGAGACAGATTCTGGCCATATTGGCCAGGCTGGTCTTGAACTCTTGACCTCAAGTGAGCCACCTACCTTGGCCTCCCAAAAAGTGCTGGGATTACAGGCATGAGCCACTGTGCCTGGCCTGATGGATTCAGTTTATGTGCAAAATTTAACAGGATGGGTTTTGGCAGTTCAGGCTGTTAGGAGACAAGGGTGGGAAGGTGTCCCGGAGCCCTACAGAGATGGGCCTCAAGTGCCAGAAGCGATGTCGGACCATTTTCAGAAGAGAGATGTTAAAGTGGAGTTTTTAGGAAGATCTGGCTGAGTAGGAGTGAGCGGGGTGGATGTAAAAGGGGGAGTGGGAGGCATCGGGAAGGCCAGGTAGGAGAACATTGCCACGGTCCAGAAAGGAGGTGACGGGGTGTGGACCAGGGATCACAAAGCAGTGACTTGCATGTGCTTCTGTCTAGCTAGAGAGCTCAGAATGGTTTGCGCCTTATTAAATGGTTGAAAAAAAATCAAAAGAATATATGCTGCGATATGTGGAAATTCTATGAAATTTAAATGTCAGTGTCTATAGTTTTTTTTTTTTTTTTTTTCTGGACTATAGCCATGCTTTTCATTCATGTATTGTTTGTGGATGCTTTCACACAGTCATATCAGCCCTGAGCAGTTGTTGCAGAGACCATATGACCTCCAAAGACTGAAATATGTACTCTCTGGCCCTTCCCAGAAAAAGTCAGCAGACACCAGGTGTAGACCAACCAGGGCGAGGGAGCCTATGACCGGAAATGCAAAGACAGGCAGGATCAAGGGACAGTTTAGAGCAGGGGTGTCCAATCTTTTGGGTTCCCTGGGCCACATTGGAAGAATTGTCTTAGACCACACATAAAATACGCTAGCACTAACGGTAGCTGATGAGTTTAAAAAAAATCATGAAAAAATCTCAAAATGTTTAAGAAAGTTTACGAATTTGTGTTGGTCCACATTCAAAGCCATCCTAGGCCACATGCAGGCCGTGGGTTGGCCAAGCTTGGTTTAGAGGAGGATGCAGTCTAGGAGAGTTTTCCCTTCTCTGCTGATGTAACTCCATGTCTTGGTGTTGGTGTTCTAGATGCAAGCATCTTTAGGCAGGGGAGTGTGTGTGGAAGGGTGAAGGGGTTGTGCCTTCATGACCCTGGTGTGTGTGTGTGCGCACGTGCGTGTGCATATGTGCGTACATGTGCACGTGCGTGTGTGTGTGCACGTGTGTGTGTGTGTGTGTGTGTGTGTGTGTGAGAGTGTGTGTGTGTGTGAGATGCTGTACTAGTCTTAGAATAAACCCAAACACTGGATGGTTCTGAGTTTAGTGCAGCTTTCATGGCTGGACAGCTTGCTGCCTGCTGGTGAAGGTGGACAAGACTGGGCAGTGAAGCCAAAGGACCACACCTCACTCTGAGGCTCCCAGAGAAGGTAGGAGGGCAGAGGAGGAGGAGAAGCGGCCCTTGGGAGAAGGCCTTCTACCCAGCCCAGCTTCTCGAGGGTGTGTTTGCGTCTGACCTAAGTCATTGCTGCTCTTTGTTTCTGGCTGTGTTCAGGCTTTCCCCCGCTTGCCTTCTGGGATGATAGGGGAAGCTGATGACTGCTTTAAAGTAAAGAGAAGGCGGGGAGGTCAACTTCCTTAGAGTCCAGTGCTTGCTTCTGGGTTGGGGCAGGGGAGAATGCCACCCACTGAACTCTCTAAATGTGTAAAGAAACAAACAGGAAGCACAGAGTTAAAAGGGAGACCCCAGAAGACAACAGAACATCCTGAAGCATATCCTCCATCAGGGAAGAGGCGTGACTTTCACCTGGCTTGCAGAACGGACATCTCACATGCTGTGAGTCCGAGGGCAGATGCCCCTCAGTCCAGGAGAGTTCCTAGGGACAAAGCCTCTTACTACCTTTAGAGAAATTGAGTCTTATTGCTAGAAAATATTTTAGAGAGGTTCTGGTCTAAGCTTCTCATTTTGCAGTTGAGAAACCACCTCAGGCCCAAGCTGGATGGATTTACCAAAGCTGGTTGGCACTGGAACTTGTATTTAATCTCAGGTCTTTTATTAGTCCTGTGGAACAAATCTTAACTTTTTCAAGTGCATACTGTGTGCCCGGCTGTGTGCTGGATGCTTTATCTGCAGGTTTAATCTTCACCACAACCATGGGAAGTAGCTACTATCTCTCTTTTATAAGTGAGAAAAGTGAGGCTTAGAAAGGCCAGTGTGCCCATGATCTGGTAGCTCAAGAGGGAAATTGGATCGGAGTCCATCTGAGACTGACTCCAGAGCTGGTGTTCTTAGCGAATAGGGGCACATAAAACTGTTCTGAGTGGCTTCCTAGCTTCTGTTGCCAATGTCCAATCCATTCTGGGTTTCTGTTAATTCATCGACTGTGCACCGAGTACCTGCGAGAAGTCAGAAGGGTGCTGGGTTGGTGAGGATGGGTTGTATCCCATCTTGGGTTTGGCCAAGCCAAAGAGACTGCCAAAGACTGGCCAAGGTAGAGAATGATTGTTCTTGGCCTCAGTTCCATGCTCCTCTCCTCTGTAAAACTGCCCCTGACACCCCAGCAGGATTGATATCCTCCATTTTTTTTTTTTTGAGATAGAGTCTTGCCGTGTCACCCAGGCTGGAGTGCAAAGATGTGATCTCAGCTCACTGCAACCTTCACCTTCCAGGTTCAAGTGATTCTTCTGCCTCAGCCTCCCAAGTAGTAGCTGGGATTACAGGCACTCACCAACCGTGCTTGGCTAATTTTCGTGTTTTTAGTAGAGAGGGGGTTTCACCATGTTGGTCAAGCTGGTCTTGAACTCCTAACCTCATTATTCACCCAACTTGGCCTCCCAAAGTGCTGGGATTACAGGCATGAGCCACTGCCCCCTGCTGATATCCTCCATTTTTAAGCTCCCAGAGTAACTCAGCTGTGTCTTTAGCACCTTCACACTGTGTCATGCCTCCCCTTGGACCCTAAGGCTAACAGCACATGCCATTTATCTTTGTATTTCTACTTCATTGCCCAGTGCATATTGGGGGCACTCAGTAATTGCGGAGCGAATAATGAATGAATGAAGACCCAGATTGTCAATGATTCTCAAACCTTATTTTACAAAAGAATCACTTGAAAAGCTTGTTAAAGATTCAAATTCCTGAGCCCTGCTCCTGGTGATTGACATCTAGGTGTGGGATGGGACCCCAGAATCTGAATTTCCCCGAAGCGCCCAGGTGTTTCTGATGCGGGTGGTCTGCAAACCACACTTGCAGCCACCCTGGCACAGGTGCCCGGCCTTCTGGAATAAAGACAGGAACTAAGCATTAAAAATAGCACGCCATTCATTTGCTTGTGCCCAGCCGCCAAGTGCCCCCTCCTGCCGGCGACAGGTCCGGATGTGGGCCAGTTCTCAGCCCAGGGAAAATGAACAGTGTCTTCTCCGTGGTGCCCAGAACAGTCTGAGTCAGTGGAATGTGCTGGCCAGTCAGGCAGAAGGGAACTTCCACTTCTTTTTTAAACCTTGGTGGGAACCATGCTGGCAAGGCGAACAGGGAGGAGAGGAAGCACCATGTGGGGCTGGGGCTTGGCCGACGACCTGGGGTGGCCGCCGAGGACCACTGCTAAATATGCTCCTTTCCTCTTGAAATAGTCACTTTCCTGGCTGGCTTGTGTGTTGGTCGGTCGCCACAAATGCGTGGCTGTTGTTCAAGGAGGCCTCCTGGGAGAGAAAAAGAGAGAATGGGGCCAGGCTGCGGCCGGGGCTGCGCAGGAAGACAGGAGAGCTGGCTTGTCTCCCGTCCCACCGTGGACTCTCGTTGTCAGATTCAGAGGGAGTGGCCGCTGGGCCCTGGACTTACTTTTCCATCTGTAAAATGGGTAGGGGGAAGGGGCAGTGTCATAAAGCTTCTTTCTTCTCCTGGAAGGGATGTTTCAAGGCCCGTGTCAAGATTGAACACAGGGATCTGTTGTTGGGCTGATGCTATTGATGAAGTCTCAGGAAGCTTGAATTTTTAAATTAACTCTTTCAGGGGATGTGGCATATAGTCTCTTGGTATTGTGCTGATGGTGGCCCACTAGAACAGAGGGTCCCGGAGGGCAGGGCCTTGCTCTTTCTTCGTCCAATCTGTATCCCCACTGTTTAGAACGGGCTGGGCACACAGTCGTCTCCATACATGTTTATGGGGCCAATATCTCCAAATACTGGCGCCTACTAAGCGTCAGCCCCGTCACTTTTATCTTCTTCACAGGTCTGACTTGCTGTTTGAGGAGAGGACGTATGAGGAGCAGGGCGTTTTTGGAGGAAGAAACTTTACCTCTGTTTTCAGTGTTTCATCCAGTTTCTCTTCTTTTTATTTATTTATGTTTTGAGACTCGGACTCGCTTTGTTGTCCAGGCTGGAGGCTGGAGTGCAGTGGCATGATTATGGCTCAGTGCAGCCTCAAAACACCTGACCTCAAGTGAGCCTCCTGCTTCAGCCTCCTGAGTAGCTGGGACCACAGGCTGACACCACCATGCCCAGCTATTTTTTTTTTTATTTTTGAGAGGCAGGGTCTTGCTCTGTTGCCCAGGCTGGAGTGCAGTGGTGTCATCATGGCTCACTGCAGCCTCCATCCCCTGGGTTTAAGCCATCCTCCTGCCTCAGCCTTTGAGCCTTCAGAACACCTAGGACTACAGGCGTGCACCACCAAGCCAAGCTAATTGTTTTTTTGTAGAGACAGGGTCTCATTATGTTGTCCAGCCTGATAGGCTATTTTTTTTTTTTTGTAGAGGTGAAGTCATCTTGCTTTATTGCCCAGGCTGGTCTCGAACTCCTGGCTTCAGGTGCTCCTTCCACCTGAGCCTCCCAACATGGTGAGATTACAGGTGTGAGCCACTGTGCCTGGCCCAGTTTTTCTTCACATGGAGGAATATCAGAGGTTAAAGACAGATAAAAATTCATGTGGTGGAATAAGCCATGTATTACTTACTAGGGGTGGCACCTATTAACTTCTCCTAGGCTCAGTTTCCTCATGTGTAAAATAGATGAATAGTGTCCACCCTCCAGGAATTGTGTGAGGCTCATATATACATAGTGTTTGTGAATGCGCTGTATGGGTGCAAGGGGTTGCAGAAACAATAATGTGTGTAAGC